AGAGGAGATCCTCCTGGGCACTGCCCTGCCCTTCTCAAGGTCCATCCTCCACCCACTTCAGTATCAGCATTTCTGCTGCAACCCTTTAAAGTTCTGTCTGACTGGTTACTGACCTGCGTGAGAATGTGACCCAGCTGCACGTATTTTTAGGATTAACTACATATTTGTGCTGAGGCACAACACAAGCATGCTGGTTTTAGGCTCTCAGTCTGAACAGGAAGCATGGGAGGAGCTCTTTTGGTATGGAAAGGGCAGCTCCACATTTTCTGTCTGTCTCAGAGTGCATTGAAGGCTTTCTGAGACAGAACTTGTTCTTACACTTGGGAAGAGGCAGCCATGGCAATCCTGGAGCTGCACACTGGGAATCCAGGCACAGACAGCCCCAGCATCCATGGAGATTGCTAAACTCAGCCCCTTTCAGCTCTCTAATCTCATCAACATTCCTCAGTAGTTCCCTTAAAAGAAGGATCTGTTATCACAGCCTGTGGGTTCCCACACAGGCCATTCCAAGGCAGACTGTTTGCTGAGCACAGGCAAAGAGGAAGGCGGAGGGGGATTTGCAATTCACAGTGTTATTCTTGTCTTGAAAGCACATCTGCTGAAGAGACAGTGGCTGTGGAGGGCTGGCAGGATTCTTACAGGCAGGCACACAGCTCCTCTGCTCTGAGCTGAGCAGGGCACTGCTGAACCTGTGAGCACTGACCTTTGCAACACTGCAGGCTGCAGCAGGCACTGTGACTCCACCATCCTGATGCTCCACAAAGGACAGTCCCTCCAGCAGCTTTCCAAGGCAGCAGTGACCTTGTGCAAGGCACAATGCCAGGCTGAGTCTCCCACGGAGCCCTGGCAAAGATGTCCCTACCAGAAGCAGGCAGCTCCACTCTGCAGCTGAGTCTGCATCAGCAAAAGATGCATCAAGCAGCTCAGTGGCCTCAGGTCACTCCCTACTCTGCCTGCCTGCTCTGTGAGGCCACAGGCACAGCAGGCACAGCCTCCCAGCATGGGGGGTGAGCCAAAAGCAAAGAACTCAGCCCAGGCTCCAAGGCACAGCATAGGTTCCTCACCATTATTATTGAAAACAGAACAAAAAGTCCACCTAGATACAGGGTAAAGCCTCAGAGCTGCCAGCATCAGTGCTGCCAACCCGGGCAGCAGCATGGCTTGAACTCCTCTCTCCCCCTGATGGCACCCAGTGCCAGGGAAGCTCTGCAGAGCGGGCAGGGCATTGTGCCAGCCCAGCATGGGCAGTGGGTGCGCTGGCAATGCCAGGTCATGGTGGGAAACGCTCCAAGCACAGGTCCCTGGCAGCAGGGCAGCCCTGGGCAGCAGGGCAGCAGGTCAGCCTTGGTCCCTGGCAGCAGGGCAGCCCTGGCAGCAGATCAGCCTTGGTCCCTGGGCAGCAGGGCAGCCCTGGGCAGCAGGTCAGCCTGCTCACTGAAGGCTCTCTCTGCCAGAGACCTGCTGAGCACCTCAATGGTTCCACTTCCAGACCTGGGGACACTCCCTGATCCCACGGGGAAAGCAGTATTATTACCTTGCTGAGGAGAAGCTCCCTGCCCCTGCACGCCTGGGGGTAACGATGCTCCCTCCCAGACCTGAATCACTCAAACGAAACTCGAAACTCGCCCACTCCTTGCAGAGCATGGCTAATGCATGCACCCTGCTCCACCTGCCCGAGGAACAAAGCTCCTCCTGACGGGTCCGGGGCACAGGCACTCCGGGTCTGGGAGCACCCAGCCCTTTGGGAACAGCACTCCCAAGCCATCAAACATCCCACTGAACAGGAGTTTCCCCCACCACAAGATCCCAGCCCTGTGCAGAGGAGTTGGCTCTGTGCTGAGCGTGTTCAGCCAACAGGCAGCCAAAAGAATTTGCCAGAACAGGAACAAGAAGAGCAGCAAAGCATGGTGCCCTCCATAAGGCTCACGAGCAGAGGTGCCAGGGCATGGCCACTCCCTGGAGCTGCAACCATGCCTGCCCCACGCAGGCTCTGCACCCCTTCCCTCACAGACAAGGGTGTCAGACTGCTGTTCAATGGAGGCTTTAGCAAACAGCATGTAGCACTTGGGGACAGCAGGCATGGGACATTCCTGCCATGCTGTGACATGGCACCTGAAGCAATTTTACTCCCATGGTCTGTCCCGAGCTGGGACACAAATGGAAAGAACCATGAAACTCAACCAGCAGGTGCAGATGTTGGACAAGGGGATTTTCTCCCTGGTACATTCCCAGATTTAAGTCCCATTTGAGTCCCAGCATTGTCCTGTCAGAGCACCACAGGTTTCACCCTGAAAAGGATTCTCAGTGCTGGAAACTATCCAGAATCACCCTCTAGCCCCAGTAAACAATGGGCAAAGAGTTAAAAGGCATTTAAAGAAAATCAGAGGTCCCAATACAATTTGGGAGCCATTCAGTTCTCCATCACTCCCATCCACTCTGTGTCAATATTCCTCTAATGAGAGCTCCTGCCTTCCAGCTGCCAATGTCACAGCCTGTGTTTGCCATTTAGGAGAGGTCAATTCAGCTCAAAAGGCTGCATTTTCCAACAGGATGACAGGACACAGGGAGCAAACAACACCCTGGGCTGTACAGGGCTCACCAGTGGGATGGCTGAGTGGCCAGGTGGACTGCAGCCACTCTCAGTCATCATAAAGGGAGTTTTCCAGGCCAGACTGCACTTTCCCCATCACTCACTGCTGAGAGATGCTCAGCTCACTCTGTGCAGCTTCCAGAGTCTCCAACTGCTTCCTCAACTAAGTATGGGGCAAGGGAAATTAATTAAAATTTTTAAAAAACTAATATCCACCTCCTCTCTCCAGGTCTCTGCTGATTTCTCAGGAAGTTTCAGTTCCAATCATTTATCTAAGAGAAGGAGAGCATTTAAAACAGAAAGTGCTCCCCTCCTCATGTCAGGATCACCCTTTCTCAACACCTCCTTTTCCACTCTTGCTGGGATGGATTTTTATCATGAACAATAAACCCCTATATGAAAAGCAGCTTAAAAGAAAGATTAGGTAGCCCAGAGAGAAGGGGAAGTGCCCACCAATGCCTGTCATTCTCCTTGGGGTGGGCAAGGAGCTACTCCTGATCCCTTCAGCTCAGCTGGTTCAACTCACTACTGTGCAAAACTTCTTGTGCCAAAGCTGCCATTTATAAGGGCCACTGCAGGCTAGTGGAAACTCAATAGAGGTGTGCAGTCTACAGCTAAAAATTTCAGTTTGATTACCAGGGAAAACTGCTGTCTAGTGCTTGGCAGGATTGTTTATTAAAACTAGCTCCTGTGTATTTCAAATCAAAGGGAATTTATCTGGAAAACTACCTGATGAACTCTATCTACAGCAAAGCTGTTAAAGTCTGACATTTTTCACAGGAAAAAAGAGAAAGAATCAAAGTCCATTTGTTTTTGGCTGCAGAGACAAATATTGGAAAAACATCTTTTGTCGCAAGGGGAAAAATGAACGTGTGACAGCATCAGATGCAGGTGCCAGATACATACTTCAGGGACTTTTTATCATGTCCTTTTCTTTAAACATTTGTAAGACCAAAGCACATCATTCTGGAGGATTCCTAAAAAGCAAGCAATGCTTCAAACGTGCTTCTACACCCTGCAAAGATGAAGTTTTTATATCAAACACAGATACTCAAGAGCAAAGGCCATTCAGTGCCTAGCAAAGATAACCCACCACATCCCCTCCAAGGCTGCAGAAGCCCAGGTTTGGACTCCCCCAGCCACGGGGGTGAACAAGCTGTGGGTGAACACCCATGTGCACCCCAGTGACACGTGAGGTCAGCACCCCTGAGCCCTGGCACACCCTGAGCAGCCTCAAGGAGCCCTCTGCAGCCCTGGACCAGCCAGGATGGTTTCACTGTGGCCACGTCTGAGAGTCTCCAAACACACACCAGCCCGGCAGCAACCACCCTGCAAGGGCTTCCATGTAACCAGCACTCTGAGCTTCAAGCACAGCTCCTGGTCAAATGCCAAGAGCCAAATTTTCATCTCCAGCCCCATCCCCTGCCCCAGGAGCCAGTGTCCTCATGGCTCACATCACAGCATGTAGCTTGCCAGCAAAGCTGGATCTAATTCCCTTTTTGTCTCAGGGAATAAAAATCAGCAAAGCAAGGTCTCCTGGTCAGCAAGCTACTCCAGAAGAAGACTCAAATATATTTTACATGTTTGGGCTAGTCCAAGACTCAGTAAAGCCACTACTCTAGCTAGAGCTATGCTGATGCTATAGCTGTCATTTAATGAATGCAAAATTACAGCAAGGAATCTGAATGAGCAACAGGAAGTCCTAGGTCATGTTTGCATTTACTACTGCTCTTGGACACTGAGAAGACTTCATTTATCACCAGGATTCCAGAAATTAAGAGAATATGGGGAAAGAGCACCAGCAAGCACACGATGTATATTCATCAGCAGAGCACAGCATGCAGCTGCACTGCCTGTACAAAAGGATCCGAAGGTAAATTAGAGAGTACATGTGAACTTTGTGGGATGCCAGTATTTCTATTAGCTCTGCATCACGCACTCCTCTCGCAACTCGTGCCTCCAGCGAGGCACGAGCAGGCACAAAGTTCGGGACGGGTCTCGGTGGGCTGGGACAGCCGTGCCCGGCGCTTTGAGCACAACCACAACCGAGGACACAAAGAGGCGAAACCAAACCGAGCCAAAAAGACACCAGAGAACGCCAGAGGCTCTGTGGCAGCACCAGAGCATCCCTCCCGAGGCGAGGGCTCCCTCCTCCAGCAGCGCTCTCCCTCCTCCCCGCTCCCGCCCGGCCCCGCTGCAGCCGCAGCCGGTTCTCCCGCTGCGGGGACACGGGAGCGCCCGGGAGGCTCGCAGGGCTCGGAGCCGCTGCCCCTGCCCCAGCCCGGCGGCTCCGGGAACGGGGAGCCCATCGGTGGGAACGGGAGCCCATCGGTGGGAACGGGGAGCCCATCGGTGGGAACGGGGAGCCCATCGGTGGGAAGGACGAGACCCCCGCCACCCCCCGGCCCACCTGAGGTGTCCCACATGTTGAGCTCCGTGCGCTGCTTGTCGATCTCGAAGCTGGCCGTGTAGTTCTCGAAGACGGTGGGCACGTAGCTCTGGGGAACGGAGGGGAGAGCACAGGTGAGCTGAGGTGAGCTGAGGGGACGCGGGGCGCAGAGCCCGGCCCGCCCTCCCGCAGCCCTCCCGCACCTCGGGGTAGCAGTCCTTGGCGAAGACGTGCAGCAGCGCCGTCTTGCCGCACTGCGTGTCCCCCACCACCACGATCTTGCAGCGAGCCAGGTGCCCCTCCATGGTGCGGGGCCGCCGCGCCCGCTCCGCCGCTTTACCGGGCCGGCCCCGGCCTGGCCGCGCCCCCGGCCCCGCCGGCACCAACCAGGCGCGGAGAGGAGCCGGCGCTGGGCAGGGCCGCGGCCCCGGGAGCCGCCTCCGCCAGCCCCGCCGTCCCTCGGGCCGTCCCCTCGGGCCCTCAGGCCGTCCTCTCGACGCTGCTGCGGCTGCTCGCCGGCCCTGGGACGCGGCGGGTGGAGGGTCCGGGGTGCCCTCAGCACCGCGGTCCCTGCCCGGGACAGGCCACAGCCCGGCCCCGCGCCGCTCTCACTGCCCGGGACGGGCCCACAGCCCGGCCCCGCGCCTCTGTCCCTGCCCGGGATGCGCCCACAGCCCGGCCCCGCGCCGCTCTCCCTGCCCGGGAGATGCCCTTTTCCCAGGGAACGGGAGCTGCTCCCTGAGGAATTCAGAAGCGGGGACAGCCGGCATTCTGCGTTCGGAGAAGCCCGTGTCCCCGATATCCGCGGCCAAGTGACATCAGCAGGGGCAGGGAAGCAGTCGCTGCAGCGGCTGCATGACCCCACAGCCCTCTGCAGAGAGGGCAGCGATTTCTGCTCTCCATCCATCCTTGAGCACAGACAGCACATCTATAAATTACAGGCAGCGGTTTTAATTAGCAGGCTTCTCTGCTGCTAGTATTTTGCTGGCCACACTGCAGAAAGATTCACCTAAATGGCAAACTGACAGGCTGCCTGTCACAAAATGCAGTAAAAATAGACACAAGGAAGACAAAGAAGGCCTGGAGAAAAGGAAATGAAAATGTTTTGGCAGCGAAACAAGATTATTAATGGACTGAGGGGGCAGATTGTTTTTTTGCTGAAATCACAGTCATATTTTGTATATAAATATTGGTTCTGTGCATGGTGTTGGGACAAGTAAAGAGCAAAGACAGGGAGCAAGGCATGGGGGGTTGCCATGCAGGTACCCAGTGGTTTCAGGTGCTTTTTGGCCTTCTGACACCCCTGCCAGCCGAGCCCCTGGGGATACACCAGCCTCAGTGAGCACTTTGGAGCCAGATGCCTTCATGTGGTCACAAGCCACGCAGGTCCCACTGTCAGGCTGCACCCCTAGGACAGGAGCCAGGTGCAGGCAGGGCTAAAGGTGTGTCTGAAGCACATTCAGCTGGCCAGATGGGAATTCAGGTCCCACCTCATCATCACATACCAGAGGAGACCTGAAAGGTGAAGGGATGAGGAGGTCCAAGGAGACAGTCCCTGGAATCCCTGTGGCTCCTGTCCTCAACTGATCTGATTCCTGCATTGTGTGGGCCAGGAGCTGGCTCAGTCAGTTCTTTGTTCTGCAGCTTTGCTGTGGGTTTTGCTGCAGCATCCCTGGGCCTCCCAGCCTCATCTTAAGCAAAATGATGAGTGACTGTCTCATGCTTGTTTCCTCCAACCCTCCCTGGGGAAAGGAGCCTGTGCTGCACTGACAGGTTTTATAAGGCCTGTAGTGATTTTTTGCCTTCTTATATGTGTGCATGTCACTCCATTTTTATGCAGAAGAATGGAAAGGAAAGTTCATTGGCTTGTGACTGCCAGTAAAGGAGTGCAGGGTATTCATCAGTGTCACCTGGAGCAGGGTTTTCCCCTTTCTGGCAGCACTTCACCATGTTTCTCAGTAGGAATTTGGTTTTTGCTCCCCACCATCAGATTGTTGAAAGCTTCAGTGGAGGCAGGATGCTCTCTGCAGGGAGTACTCAGAGCTCTGCAAACCCAACAGCCACATTTTCCTTCAGGAGAGGCAGCAAGCTGCCCCTCCTGCTCAGAGCTGCTGGGCACCACCATGGCTGAGCCTCACATCCCCTTCAGTGCAGAGCATTTGCAGAATAAATTCAACAAGCCTTCATCATGGTGTGGATTCTCTGAGTAGGCTGCAGAGACATGCTGTGGCTGTCGCTGTGTGTGGAGAGGCGACAGATGGCTCTCACACATTTGCTCCTGGAAGTGCTTCCCCAGTGGCTGGATCCTCCCTTGCTGATCCACCCTCTCGGGGTTTTAATTGCTATTATGAATTAAATTTATTGTGTTGTATTGATGCCATTTTCTGTACAAAGAAACAGGAAAACATTCTGCATTGGGAAAATACACTGTGAGAAGCCAATTTTCACTGAAGGAACCACAGCCTGAAACCAGGAGCCTGTGACATCTTATTCTAGTCTGCAGAGCCCCAAAGTTTGGTCCTGTACAGCCAGTCAGAGGCTCTGGGCTGAATTTCAAACATGATGGGCAAGTGAATTACTGAGTGAGCCACATGGCCATGGTCCCTGCAAGAAACACAGACACACCTGGTGAGAGGAGCCCTGGTGTCACCCTGGGATCAGGGATGGAGCTCCTGCTCTTCACACCATGCAGAGACAGTTTCCTACATTTTTATGATGATTGTTCACTTTTTTATCCATCTTCTCTTTGGCATTCATCTCAGTGTGCAATGTCTTATTTCCCAGCCTGGGACAGAAATAAGGGATACACTTTAGTGTCTCACCAGATCTAGTCTTAAATATCTTTTTGGACTTGTCAAATATAGGAAAGAGCTAGAAACCATCCAGGCCAAGCTGTAGAGTAACTAACTATGAGTTGCTAGAGTTGCTAACTATGGACATGTGGAGTTACATAATTCAGCCCAGAGGTGTTATTTGATGCTTTCCCCTAGAAGATACAGAGGTAGAAAAGCAGTAGAGTGTCATAGACAGGAAGAAGAATTATAAAAGAAAGGCCTTATGAAATCAGGCCTTGCTCTGCTAAAATTGCCAAAGCTGGCAATTTTAGCAGAGCAAGCTAACAAGCAAAGTGCAGCTAACAAGCAATGTGCAAGTTCCCGTGAACATATATGCCCAGGTTGTTGAATATATTCTGCAAATGAGAAGTTCATTTTACACAGCAATCTATTCTGAGGGTGAAAAACAAATACACCTGTGTGAACAATGAGATTTGTCCCATGAGAGCCCACACAGGAAAAATGTAAACATATCTAGAGAGAGAAAATTTGATAGTCATGTACATTAGCCCTTACCATCCAATGAACCGAGTTTTGCTGTATTGCTGACCAATTATGTTTAACACAGTGCCTTCTGATATTTCCTACAAATATGAGCTTGGTAAATAAAGAATTTGCTTTCTGCATGAAGAAAATGGAGTCTGGGCTGATTTCTTCCAGCACAAGGTGTCCCCGAAGACGCGATCGACGCGAGACACAAAAGAAGGAGGTGAAACGAGCCAAGCCAGCCGCGGGACAGGATTTAGAGAGGGAATATCCAAAGATGTGAAAGGAAGATTGCAGCGAGAGCAGGCACAGCACACGAACGCAGCACTGGCCGCAGGATCAGAAATTCAAGCAGCGAATATGCAAAGCAGCAAAAGGAATATGCAAAGCAGCAAAAGGATACGGCTACGGTCAGCCGTGGGATCGCTGTGCAACAAGCAAAGACAAGAGCTGGTGAAGCGGAGCCGGGGAGTGCACGGGGCTGCAGACGGCGTGGAGCGCACAGAAACGAGCACAACACCTGGGAGAAAGGGAGCAGCCGGTGAGAACAGAACTGCGAGCTGCAAACGCCGCCCTGGACCGCGGGAGATGCGCGGTCCTGAACCGCGGAGGATGCGCAGCCGAAAGAGAGCCGCGGAAGGTGAGGAAGCTGCAGAGGAGGGAAGCGCCCAGCGAGTCGTGGGGAAAACAGTGTTGTTAAAAACGACAGCAGGCTCCCGGTACTAAAGTGATTTCAGCATTTATTATAAGAAAAAGACTTAAAGCAAGGCCCGAGCAGGAGCGATCCCGTCGAGGATGCTGCAGCGCCGGCGCTGGGGCTGCTTCAGCAGCGATGTCCCCGATGTCCTGGGTGGAGCGGCACAAGTTCAGTGGGTCCGAAGTCCCCTTTTTATCCTGTTTTTATGTCCGTTTAGATTGATTTCTTTTTGGGTCCTTCATTTGCATGAAGGTTTTATGCCCTTGATTGTCCCATTACAGCTCTGTCCAGGCTGGCTCGTGGTGCACTTTATTTTGATGTATTATGGTACGTTGAGTGCCATATTTCTTACAACAACCCTTTTAAACCCCTTTTACCATAACCAAACTAACAGTACATGCTTAACAATTATCAACTATTTTACAACAGTTTCTAACCTACTTTTAACTGTGTCAAGAACAGTGGTGAGTGAACTTTCAGCTGCAAAGGTGTGGGGAAACAAACGACAGGATAGAAGCGTAATGTGGAAATGAATTCCGTACCCGTCACGGAAAGAAAGCCAAACAAAGTTAGAACAAAATATTGTTGGGAAAAGGAGAGATACAGCACCATAAGTATGTGCTGATACCTTTGCTACTGTGTTGTGTGGTCCAGGGGCTGGTCCCTGATTCGGCAAATGTATTTAGTGGAGCCTGAGGCTACACTCCGGTTCTGGGACAGTGCCTGTGTGTGTCTGTGTACGTGTGTCTGTGTGTCTGTGTACGTGTGTGTGTGTGTCTGTGTGTCTGTCCCTGCTGCGGATGCTCGGGAGCGCACGGCCCCGTGTCGCTCATTTTCCCTCCTACCCCAGGGGTACCGAGACTCAAACCGCGTGAAGAAACAAACAGCCACGAGCTCGGAACCAGAACTTAGTTGTGTGCCCGTGCAAAATTTCCTCCGGCACGATTAAATTACCCTCCCCACCGACGGCGCGGGGCCGGCCGGCTGCCGCTCCATGGCGAGCCGTGGCGACTGCGGGGGCTGGCGTGGCGAGCGGCTGAGCGGGTCTGGTCCTGCAGCAGAGCTCGTAAACTGCAGCAGAGCTCGTAAACTGCAGGACCAGCGGGGCCCGACAGTATTTTTGTAGCCAAGCTTCATTCCGGACCCAGCGGCTCCCCCGGGGCTGGCTCCTCTGTCTGCGGTCCCCTCAGGCTCCAGACCGGGAGAGCCGCGGGCGCTTTGTGCCTTTCTAGCGTTTTCTGGAATTTTTTTGTTTTTTTTTGTTTTGTTTTTGTATTTTCCCCCTTGCGGTGTGTGGTTTTTTGGGTTTGTTTTTTATTGACTTTTCCCCTCCTCTTTTTCAACCGCACGTGTTTTAGGGGGCAGAACAGAGGTGCAGCGGCGCAGGATGGAGCCGCGGAGTTTTCCCTTCCCTTTCTGGGGCGGTGCCTGCCCATCAATTGGCTCATTTATGTTTAATTGCTGTTCATCTAAGAGACCTGTTGTAGATATGTAGATATGGGCTCTGTTCCTTTCTTTTTTTTTTT